CAGCAGGAACTGGATGGCACACCCATGTTAGATAATTAAAGTAGGGTTTCATTAAGAAGCTGTTTACAAAAGGGTGGTCATTAGTGAGGAGAAAACTATATGGGGTAGAGCAATACCCCAGGGCCAGGAACAATAGAGCTGTTACCACCCACCCCTAAACCCAAAGGGAGGTGGAGAGGAAGCCGTTTTGAAGACCTAAAAGGAGAGAGTCATGTAGAGAGGACTTTCATAAGAGGAGCTGTGATCTTTGGGAAGAGCACGCAGCCAGCTAAAGGTGGCCCTGCAGGGAGAAAGCCAGGGGCATAAGTACCCAGACTTCTCTCCTCCTCCCCTCCTCTATCTTCAGCTATGGCTCCCCATTGACCAAACTCAGCCAGAAGCCACAGTACAAGAGAATGCTCTGAGAAAGAGAAATGCAACCTTTGACATTGGACATGGGCCTGGTCTTGGTGTTCTCCTGGGGAACACGAGCCATTTCATGGAATGTCAGCATCAAAGGGCCCTTTGTCACTATGATGGGTCAAGACGAAAACAAGGCCAACAACAATCATGTCTGAACATAGAGAAAAACCCGAACACTGTCCAAAACACAACGAAGACAAAACCTCCTCCTGTCCTGGCTGTGAGTGACGATGCTCCTTTACCAGTCCCAGCTTTAGCTTCACTCTAGTCTTCCTCCTGGGTAAGATTTATGAAGATACCCACCCACAGAATTACACGCCCCCTCCTCCCTGACAGCATCCAATCCAGAGCAAAGCCTACTTCCATAAACGCTGCCCCAAATCCCCTAACAGAAGCCCAAAGTCTGTACCAAGTATCCTCTAACAGCCTCTTCCTGAGACCCCCAGTTCCCACATGGCATGGACTCCCCCTCCTGCAACAAGGATTAAAGTCAACTGGTACAACTGCAGGGGTGTTCCTGGGAACTCGGGTTGGAGAACAGTGGCTGTACAGACGCTGTCCCTACAGGTCAGCCTCCCAGGGCTCACAGCAGGATGTACCTGGAGGGGCGCCAGAAGCCACAGGGAACGCAACTGAACCCAAACCACTGTGCACCATCTCTGAGGAGATGTTTTCTTATCCTTCTCATCCCCGACCTTCCACTTCCCAGCTTAGACCCTGGCCACCAGCCGGAGGGAGTTCTCTACTTGATATGATAGGGTACAGGAGGGAGTCTTTCTGGAGGAAGACCTGCATCTTTCCCGAGGGCCTCAGAGAAACAAAGTTGGAAGGCAGCAGAGGCAGTTCCTGGTGATCAACCAGGAGCTCTGCGAGGTGGATTTGGAGCATGAGCTCTGTGTCTGCCCCCAGGCCCCACAGAGGAATGAGCTCAGAACAAAACCTGGAGGCTCACCTGCAACTTTCAGCTCTACCAAGGCTTTTTCGTAGAAGTTGCCATCTTGGAAATAACACAGGTAGTTTCCAGTGTCAGAGGCTCTGACGCTGTGAATTCGGAGAGCAGCCTTCCCTGCAGTGATGCCATCTCTTAAAAACTCAGTTCTCCCTCGATACTCTGCTGTCTGTCTGTCTTCTACTTCCTTGCCATGTGCATACATGAAAACTACCTGCCTGAGGCTGGATCTCACCCACTTCAGTTCCATGTTCTCTGCGCTCATCTTCGGCGACAGGTGACAGGGCAGCTCAGCGTCTTCACCCACCATGGCCAGGATGGGCCCAGGGGGTCCAATCACAGCAAACTGAGCTGGTCAGCAAAAGGGGGAAACTCCATGAGAGGGAGTTGGGGCCTTGATGGTAAGGGGGTGTCTCAGGCAGAAAAACCTAGAGAGGAACAGGATCCTGACAGAAGGACATTTGTCTTAATGGCATGTGTACTTTCAGTTTGTGACGGGACTTCCAGGAATGAATGGTCAAATGTTCTGACTGGGCGCTAACAGGTAACTGTCTGCTTCCGATACATAAAAGCAGCATCGTTCCCTACCTGAGCAAGAGGTGAGCAGCTGGACCAAGATGATGCAGACAAGGAAGTGGGGCAGAGGGAAGTCTAGGGACGGTGCCATTTTCATCTGTGCTGCAAATAGAGAGAGGCAAGGAGTCAGGCAGAAATACGGCCTGGAAGAAGATGGATAATTCTGCGTGGAATTCTGAGGTTTCCACGCAGAATTCTCCACCTCAACAGGGCCAACTCAGGGCGAAACTTTTCACAATTGTTCTGGGAATTCCCTGGCGGTCCAGTGGTTAGTACTCTGCGCTTTCACTGCTGGGTTCGATCCCTGGTTGGGGAGCTAATCCCATGCGTGGCCCCCCAAAAATTGTCCTTTGGGGGAGAAATATCTGTTCTTTGGGGGAGAAACGTTTCTGGAAAGGAAATGATTCCTTTCCTTTCTTCCCTTTTCTCACGTGTTCACCAACGCTCCTTGGCAGATGGCCTGCCTCTGGGCTCACCAGCAATGGATAATTTTCCTATCTTGGTCTTTGCACTGCTAGAGAAGTGCCTTTTAGGGGCGGAGATGTATGTGCTAGCACTTGCACAGAAGGGGCAAATACATCAACCGAGAAGCACACAGCAGCCCAACACAGCTCACGCCTCTATGCAGTGCTGGCGTTCTTCCAGCTCAGAGGCAGGGCCCCTGCAACTCCCCAGTCCCAGACCAGTGTTTCCAAATGTATCTTGGCTCAGAAAAGCACCTTTACCTCCTTTTAGTTATGGTCTGTGGCATCACTGTGAACTTTTGTGTTAAGGGAAGTGTGTGGCCCTTGCCGACTAGCCAGGCTTGATTCTAGCTGGAGTTCTAACTCGGCTTCCATCCCAGCCACCCTAGAGTTGGCTGCATCCCTAAATACTAGAGACCCTGAGAGTCGGCCTAGGTGGATTACTCCAAGACGGGACTGAGAACTCCAGGAGTAGCCCTCTCCCTTCTCCCATCATATATTCTTTCCTTCCCTGAAAATGCCAGATGGAATGGTGTGCCGACGAATGACTCAGGGTGCCCGTCTGCGGAGCAACACTGCCGTCTCCTCTAGGCCCCAACTCATGGCCGTCACCAAGTTCAAATCACTCTTCCATCAGACTCTGGTTAAGATCCTGGCAGATTCCCTGGGTCACCCAGAGGCTGAACCTACCACTTCTTCTTTTTTTTTTTTTTAATTTTGTCCAAGCTGCACAGCTTACAGGATCAGTTCCCCGACCAGGGACTGAATCCAGGCCACTTCAGTGAAAGTGCCAAAACCTAACCACTGGACCGCCAGGGAACTCCTATGAACCTACCACTTCTTAATCCCAAGGCAAGTGAATGGGAGAGTTAGGAATAAGACCAGGTCTCACCCATGTGTTTTCATTCATTCAACAAATGTTTATGGAGCACTCACTGTGTGCCAGGCCCACTACAGGTTAGGTGTTGGAAATAAAAAGGGTATGGGAAGTAAGTAATGACACTATGATTCACAAGCTTTGTGATCTCAATCATGTGACAAAACCTATTTGAACTTCAGTTACTCATGAAACACTGTGAAATAGGAACTTTAGAACGTACATAATTGGCTCAGCAATTTCACTTCCAGATATCTGGTCCAGCAAAGCACTTGCATGGGTGCAGAGAGAATTATGTGTAAGGATGACACTGAAGCATTATTTTTAAAAGTAAAAAAAAAAAAAGATAAACAACCTAACCAGCCACTCTAACCACTAACAGGAGACTGGTTAGTTAAACAAAGGCTCATCTGTATGAGGGAATTCAATATGGCAGTTAAGAGTGATTTACAGTCACTAACTCAGATAATCAAGGTCTATTAAACAAAAAGAACACTGCAGAAAAATACTACTGATTCTATTAAAAAACAACAACAAAGCTATAAATTTGTATATACATTTTTATGGGATCGTCTTAGAGTTCTGAAGGGCTACATGCTAAAATGAAAATCCGAGATTGAGTGAGAGACACTTGTCCTTTGCCCCCTATACTTTGAAAATTGTTTGGATGTTTTCAATTTTAAAAGTTTTCATGTTTTACTTAACAATTAAAATTTGTTACAAAAATTATTGTGACTGTAACATATTAGTTGTTCAGAAAATACCGACTCCTGTAAATCAACTATATGTCAATAAATAAATAAATAAAAATAAAATACCAACTCTTCACACCAATTCCCCCAAAACAAACCAGCATGAGGCCCACATTCATAGTACCTGCTGCCGTGATACCTGCACCGGGAACTGCCTTTGAGAACAAGGCCTGCAGAGTTGGGTGGATGGGTTGAAGAGGAGCCGGGAGCAGACATCTGTGCTGCTGGGAATTCTCTGGAGCCTGCCTGAAACCCGGACAACTCTCAGACAAAAGACTGCCTTCCACCATATCCTCTGCTCTTCAAAACTACTCTCTAAGCTGCTAGAGAGAGGACAGTATTATTTATTATTATTATTATTATTATTATTATTATTATTATTATTATATAGGTAACAATTTCAGTGCTGTTCTCAGAGTGAGGAATATATTTTCACTAATTTTTTTAGGATATTTATTGGGTTTTGTTCCTGATTATAGACAACTTCAAAATGGAGAAAAATATGAAGGAATAAAATTTAAATAATCTGTGATGGTAATCACATACTTTGCTTCATGGGAATATAACTATTTCTGGAAGTATTTTGGCCATAGATATATACTAAATGCCTGAAAATTGTCAAAATTATAATTTGACCCAGAAATTCCACTTGTAGAAATTACTCCTAAAAACAAAAAATCAGGTATTAACACAAACATTCATGTTTAAAGCGGTTCATCATAAGTAAGATCTACAACAGCAAAATGTAGATAGACATTGTAGATGTAGATCCAGTTTTGTTACAATTAGAAATAAAAACTCTTTATTAAAAATATGATTCCTAATGACTATATGAAAATCCCTTTTATGATTGGACAGTGTGTTTGTATCCATTCTCCAGCTCTTGTATATGTAGGTTGGTTCAGATTTTTGTAATTACAAATAATTCTGTAATGTACAGCTTTACATATAAATCTTTAAGGCACATCTCTTTTTAGAATCTCTTAGAACAGATTCCCAGAGATGACTAAGAGAGATAAGAGTCCTTTGCTCCTTTCTGACCACAGTAAGCTCCTAAGAACATGCAGTTGGCAAGTTTTTTCATTCACGTTGTCTCCTTCCCTTACATTTTCCAATTCAGGTCTTTAGCCTTTGCATTGTCCTGCTGCCTCCACCCCCTCATCCTCACTCACAAGCACCAATCCCTTTCTCTGGATGAGGGCCTCCCTGGAGGCCCACTCTCAGCTCTTCAGCCTCTCTCCCTCCAGGGCTCGTGGCCCTGGCTTTTACCCATTTTCCCACACTTACCTCTTGGCTATCCCATCTGAAAATCACAGCCCTCAGAATAAAGGTTAGAGGCTCTGTTACCTGGAAGAAAGGAAAAAGAAATATGCCTGTTCACTATGAGAAGCAGTAACAGGGTCATTCTGTGGAAGAATTAGTTTTTAGATTGGCTCAGAGGGGTGTTTCTCATCAGTTGCTGGGCAGAAACCAGTGAGGAAGTTTAAAATGAAAACTGAAACTGTATTGGATTGTACATGGTGAAGAAAAGTTACAGCCTAATTCTCACACTGTGTTTTTCTAATTGAACCACTTATGTATATGTATGTGTATAATCAGTCTTTCATTATATATACCTGTTTTACATCTTCTATATGATAACAGATTTATTTTATATCAGAAAAGATTTACTGAGTAGAGAAATAAAAGATTTTAACATGTGAAGAGAGGAAGATGTGCATTAATTAAAATGTTTCTGTGGCTATTTGCTAACATCTGTTTGCATGTACACAGGCACATGGAGGAGGATTTATCTTTTACAACAGAGCCAAATGAGAGTATGAGCAGAAAATCAGACCCACTCCACCTTTTCTATTTTTTTATTTTATTTTATTTTTTTTCGGTATGCGGACCTCTCACTGTTGTGGCCTCTCCCATTGCGGAGCACAGGCTCCGGACGCGCAGACTCATCGGCCATGGCTCACTGGCCCAGCCACTCAGCGGCATGTGGGATCTTCCTGGACCAGGGCACAAACCCGTGTCCCCTGCATCGGCAGGGGGACTCTCAACCACTGCGCCACCA